GGTTCAGGCGATTGAGGCTGAAGCGACAGGATAAGACGACTCGCGAGTTGTCTTCCTAAATGGGGCCCATGATATGGGTAATACGCGTATGTGTAGCTTTTGTGCTTTTGCTTTGATTTGCAGCCTGCTCCTGCTTCAGCTCAATGCGTGAGCAGACGCTGCACTCTTCTCCTGATACGTCCAATTTGAGGCGACTGATTTGTTCAATTTCAATAGACTAGACGAAATTACAAGAAACATAAATAAAAACTCTCCGATGACATCTTTGCCGATTGAAGGTACATTGTAGCTATTTAAAGAGCTGATAGTTGCGTGCGGCGGAAGGAGTGGGCCGTGGAAGCTTCCTAGGTAGATATGTGTGTACCTAGGCAGCTACCTACCTGGCCCGGGCTTGGTCCCTTGCTTCTAACTTGATTCTGCATTGACAAAGTCGCCGTCTATATTTGAACCCTCAGACGTCCCTTGTTTCGATCGACGAGCTCCCAATTACCTTTGCCGAACCAGCGCTGCCACCAATCTGCCGTCACGACGGTTTACTTGCCCGCACCGGGTCCACAATCAAGGCCAACCAAAACAGCAGCGGCGTCAACGTCATCCGCAAGGCCGCCACGCCATCTGCCATGCTGCACAACCAAGATTGACTGCACATCACTCACGCCTGCCCCCCCCCTTCCTTGACACCTCGATTTTCCTGTGGCCTGCGGCCAGGCGGCTTCTGGAGCAATTTGGGGTTTTTTTCCTCCCCGCATGCTCCAGACAAAATACGGCTCGTTTCCTCTCTTAAACTTTCAAACGGCCTTTGCCTGTGTGCCCCGCCATCATGACCATCCTCGACGACAAGCAAGCCATGGCCCGGCGCCAAGCTCAGGCGCGGGCCGATGCACAGGCGCGACAGCAGAGGACGGCCTCCATGGGGGGTCCGGGCAGCATCTCGGAAGAGTCCCTCATCACCGACGGCTTTGTCATTCCTGACCTGGACGTGCCCAGTGAAGCTCCGCCGGCCTACGGCGACCAGGTAGATAGGGTCACCTTTACGCAGCCCGGCTTTCAGGCCGGCGCCGCCGTGACGGGTAAGGATATCCAATTCTATTCAAGCCAGGCGGTAGTGAAAGTACTCTACTAATAAAACGTATTAGGTGACGGTCGTGTCAACATCAACATCAGCACCAAGAACCGCCGTCTCGCGGAGCTGCTCGCCCCCGTCGTCGACAGGCAAGTCTCCGTAGTCGAGTCCCAGCAGCCGCTGCCCCCGGCCTATATCCCGCCCAGCCTCGGAGGTCTACCCGGGCAGACGCCCCCGCCGGCGCTCAATATCGTCATACAGATTGTCGGTTCCCGCGGTGACGTTCAGCCCTTCGTCGCCCTCGGCAAGACACTCCGCGACACTTACGGCCACCGCGTCCGCATCGCCACCCACGCCACGTTTCAGAAATTTGTCGAGGAAAACGACCTCGAGTTTTTCAGCATTGGCGGCGACCCTGCCGAGCTCATGGCCTTCATGGTCAAGAATCCCGGTCTCATGCCCGGATTCGACGCCCTCAAGAGCGGCGAGGTCAGCAAGCGGCGCCGCGGCATCGAGGAGATTCTCATGGGCTGCTGGCGCTCGTGTATCGAGCCGGGTAACGGTCTGGGCCCTCCACCAAAGCCACACGCGCGGTCCGCGCCGACGAATTACTCTGCATACGAGGTGCCTGGCAATCCAGCGGATCGGCCCTTTGTGGCGGATGCCATCATCGCAAACCCGCCGAGCTTTGCACACATTCACATTGCCGAAAAGATGGGCATCCCGCTGCATATGATGTTTACCATGCCTTGGACGCCCACACGATCGTTTCAGCACCCGCTTGCCAACATTCAATCTAGTAACCTCGATGATACCCTAACCAATAATTTGACTTATACCCTCGTCGAAATCATGACCTGGCAAGGCCTCGGCGACGTCATCAATCGCTTCCGTGAAAAGGCCCTCGAGCTGCCCGAGCTGTCACCGTTGTGGGCGCCCGGCTTACTGACGCGGCTCAGAATATCCTATACTTACTGCTGGTCACCTGCGCTCATCCCCAAACCCAACGATTGGGGCAACAATATTGACGTGTCTGGCTTTTACTTTCTTGATCTCGCTTCTTCATACACTCCCGACCCAGAGCTCGACGCTTTCCTCAATGCTGGCTCGCCGCCCGTCTATATTGGCTTTGGCTCCATCGTCGTCGACGATCCTAACGCCATGACGCGCATGATTTTTGACGCTATTCACCTTGCTGGCGTCCGCGCCCTCGTCTCCAAAGGCTGGGGAGGTCTGGGAGCCGAAGACGTCGGTCTTCCGGAAGGCGTCTACATGCTCGGCAATGTGCCCCACGACTGGCTCTTCCAGCACGTCTCCGCCGTCGTGCACCACGGCGGCGCCGGCACCACTGCAGCCGGCATTAAGGCCGGCAAGCCGACCTTTGTCGTGCCCTTTTTCGGCGACCAGCCCTTCTGGGGCTCCATGATTGCGCGCTCCGGCGCCGGCCCGGACCCCGTCCCGTACAAGGATCTCACTGCTGAGAAGCTCGCCGAGGCCATTAAGATGTGCATCGAGCCGGGTACGATGGAGCAGGCCAAGGTGCTGGGGCAAAAGATTAGAGAGGAAAAAGGGACGGACGAGGGCGGGTATAGCTTCCACAAGCACCTCGATGTGGACAAGCTGCGCTGCTCTCTCGTGCCGAGCCGTGTCGCTGCGTGGCGTGTGCGCAGAACAAAGGTTCGATTGAGCCCGCTCGCCGCCAGTGTTCTCGTCGATCACAATGTTATCAAATACACGGATCTCAAATTGTAACCACCCCAAGATGCAACTTGACAAAAACTCACGACTGACAAGTTACAGATACCGCCCATGCGAGTTCAACACTGATGATCAGCCTACTGATCCATTGACTGCCGGCGCGGCCGCCCTTATGCTGTCTATAGGAACCATTGGCATGGCTATTGCGGACATGCCGAGGGAGTTGTGGAAAACCCACAAGAAATACAAAAAGGACAGCGACAGCGCGTCGAGACCGACAGAATCGTCCAGCCACCTCTCGCAAAGCGATCATCGCCCTTCTACGTCGCGAGATGTGAATGTTTCGCAAACCTCTCTATTGACGCCATATCGCCCATCTACGTCGACAGATGCATATGATTCCCAGACGTCTCTGTTGGCGGTAAATCGCCCATCTACGTCGACAGATGCAAACTCCCAGACATCTCTGTTGGCGCCAGATCGCCCATTTACGTCTACGGATGCGAATGCTTCTCAGACATCTCTGTTGGCGGGAAGCCGCCCATCTACGTCGACAGAGGCGAATGCCCCCCAGCTCCCTTTGTTGGCGGCACATCTCCCATTTACATCGGCAGATGTAAATGTCTCTCAGTCCTCTCTATCGACGACAAATCGCCCATCGACGTCGACAGATGCACATGCTTCTCAGTATTCTCTACCCACGGCACACACGCCAGACACGCCACTTGCCACTGGCGCCCTGACACCTACAGGGCAGAGAGAATCCCCCGAGGCCACGCCCCCAAGCCAGGCAAATCTCCGCGAGGAGCACTTGTCACCAGGTGTATCCTTTGGTATTGATAGCGCCGTGGGCACGGCGAGAGGTGTTAACAGAATTATTGAGGCGGGCGTCAAGTCACCCATGAATTTTTGCCTTGGATTAGCCAAGGGATTCCGCAACATGCCGCGTCTATATAATGACGATCTGGTGCGCCCCGTCGAAAAGGTGACCGACCTGTCTTCTGGCATCAAGGTCGCCGGCAAGGAGCTTGGGTACGGCTTCTTTGACGGCATTTCGGGCTTGGTACGACAACCACTGCATGGTGCGGAAAAAGAAGGCGCCGTTGGCCTCGTCAAGGGCTTTGGAAAGGGTATCGGTGGCCTGATCCTGAAGCCCGCTGCCGGCATCTTTGGTCTCCCTGGCTACGCCATGCAAGGCGTCCACGCCGAGTTTGGCAAGCACATGAGCCGCAGCGTATACAATTACATCATCTCGTCCCGCATCAAACAGGGTGAGATGGACTTTTTGCATTCCTCTGACGGCGAGTGCGAGGATATCCTGCGTCGTTGGAACACGGTCAAGTTTGACCTTTCAAGCTTCTACGACCTGAAGCGCAGAAGGGGCGCAACCGAGGGGCCGTTCCCGCCGCCACCGCCGCTGCCCACGGACGACAGCAGCGACACCGTGTCCATCATGGATAAGGGCTTCTCTAAACCCCGTACCGGTTGGTTCCAGACGCGTCATCTGTCGTCGGTGCAGCGTAAGCGCATGCAGGAAGAAAAGCAGACATGGAAGCGCGGCTATGTGGAGTCGCTGGTGCCCGGCGCGCCGCTTTCTACTGCGACGTCGGCCGACAAAATAAACTGGGTTCAAGAAATAGATGAAGTGGAGCGCGCCATCCAAGCCTCTGTCAGGGAAACATCAAAGGGTGTTGTCGAGGATGACGCTGAAATTGAAGCTGCCATTCGTGAGAGCCTGCGTGTCATGCGCGAGAGCGGCGCTCTGCCTGCGACGGGCTGGATCGACGAAAAGAATCGGCGCAACGATGACTCGTCTATTTTTGAAGATGAAGAGTTCAAGATTACCGATGAGGAGTACCAGGACCTTATTCAGTCCGCCATGCGGCAGAGCCTCGTTGAGGAGTATGGGTACTCTGCTGAGGAACTAGGTCTTGAATCCTCGTTGCCGTCTTTTACTGGCACACCCTTGTCGCAACCCGTGCTGACCGAGGAGCCTGCACCAATGGATGACTTGTACGGCGCCGACGAAGCATCGAGCTACCAACGAGAGCTGCCCGGCCACGAGCCCGCCTCCGATTCACAGCAACATGCGGTCGAGCTCCCAGCACGCGATATCGAAGAAGAGGAAGAATATCAGCTGCAGCTCGCCATTGCCGAGTCCAAGCAGGAGATGGAGCGAAAGGAGACGGAGCGCAACGAGGAGGACATTGTGCTCGAGTACATCAAAAAGCAGAGCTTGGCGGAGGAAGAGTTTCGAAAACGAAGCAAGGGGAAGGGGGTTAGCACGGATGCAGAAAATGAAGAAGAAGATGAAGAGCTGAGACGAGCTATGGAGGAAAGTCTGAAAATGAGCCACAGTGGCGGCGGCCAGGGCAGTGGCAGCGGGAGCGGGAGCGGGAGCGGCCGGGGCAGTGGCAGCGGATTTCGCGGCTCCTCTGCAGCAGGACCCTTCTGAGACAATCTGCAACAGAAACATTTATGAGAATCTAAATACCACTGATTTATAGCGAATATCATGCCACATTTTGCAGCAAGCGCCCAGTCTCAACATATACTGACTGGGAATTATCGCTGCGCGTCACGGTCCGGACTCTTTTTGATTTGCAGCTTATAGCATTGGACTTGGCATGAATCACAGCTAGGGTCAGGCATCATGTGTTACTGTGGCATGCTTGGGACGGACAAGTATGTGAAGCGCAGCTCCATCAAGAACCAGAGCGGGCTATTTAAGGAACCCGCTGCGGCCCTCTTGCCGTTCAAAACAAAGAGACCCAAATAAAGACGGGCCATTTTTTTTGAAATCTATCAGCATCTACAAGATTTTGAAACGATTCGACTGGTAAGAAGCCATGTGTGGCCAGAGTAGCCTGAAATCGGGCCTTTTGAAAGGAAACTGACTCCGACCTTGCAAGGATTACGTTTTCTTATACCCGTTTTCAAAAAAAAATGTGCCGACAGGATTGGACCTTGGTATACTGGAAGTGTCAGGACACAAAACTTTCTTTTTGCCAGTTGATACCAGACGACGGCTGCGGTGGGTGTCGCTCACCCAAGGGCGTATCGCGCGTGGTGTCGAGCACGACGGAGACGGTGCCGTGCGCGCCATGTATTGAAACGGAGAAGTGGGTGGTGCATAGAGGAAGCTGGATGACGAGGGAAGAGGCCGTCGCCAAAGGATGGCAGCCGCCGCCGCCGCCGTCTTTGTAAGTAGGGGGGGGGTGATGCGGTGTAAATTCGTGGGCTGGACTATTGTTTTGGAAACGCCGTGGATGCAGGAAGAGGAGAAATATAGGAGGAACGCGACACGGGATGATGCGAAAAGGCACGTGGGTATGCTTTTTTTTTTTTACATTTGTGAACGAGAAGCAGATAAAGTTGAATATATTCTGTTGGTTGGGGGCCATAATGTTGGTTCGGCTGGAAATGAAGTGTAGTGTGGCGACAACATAATCATTTCCTACAGTAAACTGGTCAAAGTGCTAGAGGACTGTGCAACATGTATCAGGTAGGTTGTTCTTCAGCCCGTAAGATTCACAGTACGGCTGACAAGTACGGATGTAACGGCGGACGACCAAGTGACGGCCGAGTTGACATGAATAACGGCGTTGACTGGAGGTAGAAAAGACGATGGAAGCCTCATAGAAGCTACTCTTTAACATGTAGTGGATAGAATAGTTCTTCAGCCCGTGAGAAGCACAGCGAGGTCGTAGTTTACGGATGTGACGGCGGACGGCAAAGTGACGGCCAAGTTGTCGTGATAACAGCATCACCTAGAAACGAATGAGGTAATAAGACTGACCTCTCAGGGCAAAACTGGAACTATAAAAGAGCAAACATGCTCTTTCTACTCTTATTTCAACCGTTCCTTTTGAAGCCCGAGCTAATTCTGTCGATACTCGTCCTTTACAGACTAACAAGCGGCGAACCTCGAAAACCAACCCCCTCACACTTGCAAGAAGGAAAGCAAGAACTGTGGTCAAACATGTGCAAACCCGAGTATGGCCAGGTAAAATGGCTCTGCGGGCACGTCAAGGGAACGACTCATAGACTGAAACCTGCAAATGGGTGCGGCGGGTGCGGGCGATCGATGGCTACCATATCACGCAGTCCATCATCCTTCTCATGGACCGAGCAGCTATATGTGCCCTGCCCGGCGTGTGCAAGAAGGCGGACGCCTGGCCAGCCGCTGAGAGCGCCGCCTCCGCTCCGCCGCAGCGACGCAGCTACCAGCAGAGGCTGGAGAACTTGATAGGCTGACAGGATGATGGATGTGCGATGGTACCGTGGTACTCACAGAATTGCAGACCAACTTTGGAATACTGAGAAGCTTCATTGGATGGAACTATGTTTTTGATAGAAGAAAACAATATGCAGTTCATTTCCAATAATACTCTAGCAATGTCAGCGCTTTCCAACACTACCCAGCAATATCGTGATCCCCTCCTCCTACTGGATGGGGCAGAATTGTAGGGCGAAAATGTAAAAGAGAGCAAACTCTGAACTGCTGCGTAACAGGAGAACAAGTCCGCTTACGTCGCGTCTAGCGACATCGGCCAACCTCTATTCACAGACTGCTGCAGCCCTCGCCTTGGCCAGTGAGGCTTGCGTTACCTGGTATCCAATACTTCAAGTCCGACAGTGCAAACTTGAAACAATAGTTGAACACAAAAGCAGGCGATGTCGGTCTATTTCTTCGTCTTTTGCCAGCGAATAACGGTAGCTCGAAACCGGCCGTGCAACAGTAACACGACCTTGCGTGGTGGAAACGCCCCATCACTGACTTGTGGGAAAACATACATAAGGCACTGGATGCCCCCGTTTGAATGGAAAAGAACGATGCTCCGTAGATGTTTTTTTTTTTTCAGCTCAAGCGGCAACGCCCTCCGAGTGACACTTTCTCATTCGGTCTTGTTCCGGGGCTTTCTTCTTCTCCAAGTCGCATGTCCCGGGTCGTTTGTTGGCCGCAACGGGATGGGAGAGCTTTGAGCCACCAACTTTCATGGGTGTTACGGAACGCAACGGGGACGTTGAGACGTCATCGGCCCTTCCCAGTACACCCACCATGGATCCTATCCTGTCCGGCACTTTTTGCTGGCGCCTCCGGCCTGTTCGAGGGCACGAAGCTTGTGTCAAGCTGATGACCAGGCAGCGAGGCAAAAAGCAAGACATCTCCAGTTCCCATAACACATACGGGGCCGGACAGGGTCAGCTGGCCCTAAGAAAGGCCACCTCCAGTTCCCATAACACATAAGGGGCTGGACAGGGTTAGTTGGCCCAAAGAAAGGACACCTCCAGTTCCCATAACACATAGGGGCCGGGCAGGGTCAGTTGGCCCAAAGAAAGGACATCTCCAGTTCCCATAACACATAGTGCTGGACTGGGTAAGTTTTGACGAGAGCTGCAAGAATCTGACAAGAACAAGTACTCACCTGCTTAGTTGTTGCTTTCGCCAGTGCGCCTGCGGCAAGCTGTGGCGCACACGGACCGGCCATTTACCGGGAGCCCAATAGCAGGAGGCACTCGACGGTGCCCGCTGCAGGG